AAAATGCAAGTTTTGGGAAGTTGCGCCCAATGCAGGAAACTATGTCTGGAAAAAAAAGAATTGGAGATTAAAGGAAAGGGTAAAGGGTGGGGGAACACTCATTTTACTCACGAATGCCAGCTGACAACGAGGCTGGAGCCAGATATCTCTGTGAACACCCAGACTAACAGTGCATCCCCCTTCCTCCAGGAGCGTTCCAGTGCAATTCCCAGACTGGAAGTTTGTCCAGATGGAAATGTTTTAACCTAAACCATGGCCCTGGGGCAGCCTTGGTGCTGCAGCTGGAGCTGCACAGCAGCAGAGGAGACACTGGGGTTATGGCTAAAGCAAAGATTTCCCCAGCTCTGGAAGCATCTTTTCCTCTCTGCAGGCTCTCCAGGAAGCCCAGGCAGGTGTGTCTTGGCTTCACTCACATGTTCTTGTACCTCATGGTGCAAGGACAAGGAGACTGTTCCAAAAACCCTTAGGGTACTTGGGCCATTCAAACTTGGTCTTGAACTCTTGCTCAGATTACCCCGTTCATAAATTTGAAGTATTAATAAATAAAATAGAATTTTTAAGATGTGTATAGCTGATTGGTGGTTTCTCTATTTTCAAGAGCATCTGAAATTTATGTTATGAAAAGTAAGAGCAAGGAGAGACTGGTCACAGCACAGCAATCCTTCTGCAAAACTCAGGTGACATCGTCTGGCCAAGCCCGGCTCTGCAGGTACCAAAGCAAGGATAATCCAGCAATGCACTGAAATGGGAATTCTGCTCGTTAAGAAAACCTACACAGAACTGTGGAGCGTGAAGTTGTGCTGTAAGTGCCACCTCAAAGCAACCAAATCCATTTCAGAGGGGACAAACCAAAGCAGCTGAACACAAATAGAAAGGAGCACAAATGCCCAAGGCTCCACCTGGGAGCTCAGGACCCCCAGCAGGGGGAACCTCTGGGCTGGTTTAGGAGAAGCACAAAGCCAGAATCTGGACTAATCTACCCTCCCTGGAACAAGTCCCTATAGGATTGGCTCCAAAATTTCAGCAGGGAGGCATGGGAAGTGTGCTTTATTACCACTCATCTGCTGCCCATATAATTTGAAACATTGCCTCCTGACCACAGCTTCCCCTTCTGCACTGTTTAATTAATAAAAAAAAACCTCATCAAGCTATGTCGTTTTTTCTATTTAAGAGTTGAAGTGCCAGATAAGTTTCCTTAACTCAAATAAAAACCATAATTATTCTTGTCTGCCCCAACTTCTGGCTTCCAGTCACCTTTTCCTTAAGGATGTTAAAGAGCTTCAGTCAGAGCATCCTCTGAGACCCAAGCTCCAGCAGAGGGGCCCTGTGTGCCCTGTGGGGCTGTGATGGAGCCACCAGCACAGAAATGATCTCACCCAGCTGAAAAGTGCAGAGATCCAAGAGGAGAACTATCCCAGCCCTTCAGGGTAAGTACAAGGGGCTGGTAAAATGGCAAGTGTTCTATTGGACAGCAACAATTTGATGTTCAGCATCCCCACCACAGATAGAAGGAAGGGAAAACATATTTTTCATGTCACACCATGCTTTGTAACCCCAAGAGGAGCTCACAGCTTGGATTCTTCCCCTTCTATTCTGTATGGAAGTGCTCAGCCTGTGGCAGCACAGAGCACACAGCAGCAGAGTGACAAACCTGCCAAAAGCCCCAGGTGTGCACAGATCACAGCTCTGAACACAGAGCCTCTCTTCAACCTAACACCAAAACACTTCCTCAGTTTTAGACAAGTATCTTCTTCTGGAAGAAATCAGTCCCAAACACTTTTACCTCTCCAAAAACAGATAAATATTTGGAATTAATGGGAATAAAGTTAAGCCTCAAAGACTAAGTACAACACTTGCCTGGCTACTGGTCTATTAAGGATTATCCTATTTAAGGATTTATTGTTTCTTGTAGGGGAGTTTTGCATTATTTTAAGACAATTGCAACATTTTGAATGTTACAATGATGCTTTAACTGCTGATGAACACATACATATCAAAGCTAAAACAACTTCCTGAAAGTGTCAAATTTAACTAAAGCCCAGTTTGGATGTTTTGTCCAATGAACTCGTGTCCCCTGTGCTACCTGGGTAATTTAATGGAACCTCAATAGTGTCAAGATGTCTTTACTTTCATTGATTAAGAGTTGTTTTCATTGTGGAAACCCCCAAACACTTCAGCAAACTCAAGCTGTTTATTTCTACCCCAGGTGGAACATTTGTGCTCTCTGAGCTGGAACCTGGCATTTTTCCCTTGGAGCTACATTCCAGTGCAGCAACCGAAACACTGCCTTTCATCCAATTAAAAAAGATTAGCTTTATGTGTGAAAGGAGTATTTTTACTTACAAAAACAGAGATCTCCCCTCACCAACTACAAAACAAGTTACAAAAACAAACAAAAAAAGACCTCTCCCAGCTCCAGCAACATGATGGAGGTCTGAATACTTAAATATAAATAAGCATAATGGTTTAGGAGTTCTGAAGAAAAAGAAGTGACAAGTTGCATTTGAGCTCAAGGTGTAAGTTTTAGGGAAGAAAATAATATTTTTTCCTAGTATTTACATCCATGCTTAACCTCAGATGTTTTAATTAAAAGTCATAATGCCCATAATTTTAAGACACAGAATTTGTGTGACTACTATTGACTATTCTCTTACTGCTGTGGAAATGAAGAACACAAAATGCAAGCAGGACTATCTAACCTAAACCAGACTGCAAAATGCAAAGATGTTTATTCCACTAGATTTTCAATACTGCAGATGCATCTAAATGTTCTCATAAATCTTCACATCATTGAGCTTGCAGGAGCAGTTTGCCCACATAAAGATTTTTGACTCTCCAAGTCAAAAAATACTAATTTTATTAGTTGCCAGTTAGCTCTGATTGCACTAATTAATGGAGCAATTAAGAGATGAAAATACTCCAATGGGTACAATTTTCCTCATCACAAGTATACACTACTGAGAATTTCAAGTGACTGAAATCTGGAACTTTGTTAAAATACATTGGCTAGAAGACACAGCTGAATTGCTGTCAGTTCAGGTAATTTCAGGGTGCAGAGTTATTGAACTCATGCAACTTACCGTGGTTGTAGTGGGTGAATTCATCACAAAACATTTTGCTGTGTGAACGCTGTCACAGTTCAGCACAATCTTTCATTTCTGCAGTGACTTTAAAACGTGATTCTTTCCTGAGTAAACATGCACACCTAATACTGCAGAGAACTGAGACTGAAAGGAATTGCAAGAAAATACATTTCAGCACGGTGTACACTTTATCCTGTTTCAGCAGCCCCTCAGGGCTGGAGATCCCTCAGGCTTGTTGAGAGAATTCCCCTCATTTCGAGAGGTAAAGCTCTTTTACCAGCTGTCAGAGACCATGGAAGGAGGGGGACAGTATGGTCACCTTGTTCTTATGTGGGCATGGAAGCAGAAATGAATCCCAGTGCTCATGTGGCTCCAGCTGCTGAGCTGTTTGATGGGATGAATGACAGCTGGCTGCTCCTGGCACCTGGGGCACAGCCACAGTGACACAGAGTCGATGTCCAGGGGCTCTGTGGTGAGAGCCCACAGCTCTGTCAGCTCACAGTCCCAGGGAATAAACTGAGAATACAGAACTCAATGCTCTGGCAAGAATGCAGAATAAAACCCTGCATCTGTTAAGGTGTCTTCACCACGTGCTTGGCATCTCAGAGACTCAGCTTTGGGTTTCCAGAGTTCTCACACACTTCTGCATGTGTGGACTTTTCACCCTGGGGTTTTTTCATCCTGCTCAGTCCTAGTTCACATTCAGGCTGTGGAAGGGGAGGAATTTCTGGCAAATTCCTTTTTTTCTGAGTGCTTGCCCAGGGCAGTGGTGGAGCCACCACCCCTGGAGATATTTAAAGATGTGGATGTGGTGCTTAGGGCCATGGTTTGGTGGTGACCTTGGCAGTGCTGGGTTAACAGCTCAATTCAATCTTAAAGGTCTTTTCCAACCTAAATGATTCCAATTATGGATGGAATGCCTTCACTGACAGCAACAAATTCCAGGGAATACACAGTTAAATCCATGATTTGTATTTATAAAATCAACCAACCAAACCAAATCAAACTTTTAACTAGTTTAATGTTACCCTTTTTCACCATAGGTGATTATAGTACTGCACGTCAAAACTGAGCAAACCTGGAAATGGGAAATAACTTTCTGAATTTCAGACATTCCCCAAAACAATTGCTACCAATTTGCAGGTGCAGGTACAACCTATACACAACAATGTCTCCAGGAGTTACACTGGATGAAAAAGTGCCTCTTTGAAGAGATGACATGAATTTCACTATTGGATGGTGAAGGGAACAGAACTTTCTATTTATTTTATGATTAGACACTTGCTGCTTTGCTGCACTACTCTTGAAGCAGCAGTTTGGCTCTACATTAAATATTTTCTAGACTATTTTCTTAAGTCTCAGTTCACATCCCTTTGATAACAGTTTAGCACCTTTGTGCCTCTGGCTCCACTGCTAAGTGATTTCTCTATTAAGAGGTAGTTGAGAATTGCTTTTTCACTACTTTGTGTTTAAATTCCAAGCAGTGAGGCCTGTAACTGATCACACGAGAGGGTTTGTGAGAGCAAACAGAGCCCAGTGAAGGCAGAAGGATCCAGGGATGCTGCTAAGGAGCTCTCCCCTCCCTCCTGGGGTTAACACAGGCCTGACCATCCCTGCCTGCCTTTCCTGGCAGAGGAAATCTCATCCCCACAGCACCAGCCTGGAGGGTGAGAGCAGGGCACCCTTTCAAGCAAGCTGGACCCCAGCAGCAAGAACTTCAGCAAGCTCTGCAGCAGCTGGCACAAATCCAAAGTCAGCCTGCAGCTCTTACCACCCAGAGCTCAGGGGCAGAATTCCTGAGGTAAATCCTGGTTTGTTGGTATCAAGGGAAGCAGACCTACTCATGGAATCTGCCTTCAGGTTGAATGGCTGGATGTATTCCAGTATGTACTAGACAAAACAAAACAAAACAGTAAATTCAGAAGTTTAGGGATGCATTTAGTGACTGCAATTGTAGCACTGAATTACAGTCAATCCTGAATAGCCAAAAGCATGTGTACAGTCAAATTTTATGTATAAGGAAAAGTACACAAAGAGCCCCAAATCCACAATTGAAGCCCCATGACCTTGTCTGCTTAAGATCTTGAGGAAAAAAATAACTTTTTCATCTGCTAAATGGTAGAAGGATAATGCCTTTAAGTGACATTAAGAAAATAAGCAGTATTTTTATTGCCTCTGCTGCACCCACAAGAGTTCTTACTCAGCAGCAATAACAGTAAACAGGTCTATATTCCCAGTGTGCACATCCTTGTGGGAAACAGTTCCTGCTGAGTGTAAACAAGGAAGAGGCACCAGAAAACACCATATGTAAAAGCTGATTTGCAAGCTTGGATGGCACTCTGGAAAGCTCAGTATAAAAGAAAACCATTGTAAGATACACTTTTGTGTATGTTCAGAGACTAAAACATACATTCATTAGGGAAAATAACTCTGTACCTGTAAAGAAAAGCAAGAATGAAAGATTAAACCTACTTTGGAGAAGTATCAGCACTGTTATTTCTTCTAAGTTAAATCTGGAGAGAAAGGTGCTCTCTTTCACTGTATTCACTTTTAGGTGAATTTCTGAACTTCTAGATCTGACAAACAATTTAAATTACAGTTTAGTTTATTAAACTGTATTTAATTACAAATACATTTGGTGGATTTGATGCACAGCACTTCATAGATCAATACTTAATGAAGTGTACATTGTTTAAGTGAAACACTCAAATGTTTAAGTCTAGTACTGTAAAATCCTGAGCAGGGAATTGTGAAGACTCTCAAGCGTTTGAACTCTAAGCTGTCACACAGAGTAAAGAGAATACGAATTCCCACTTGACAAGAGCTGCACAAGAAGACACAGTTTTTCCCTTGCTTAAGGAAGAGAGTCAGGAAAGACATCTGACAATCCCAAGGCTCTTCCAACAGCCCTCTTTCGTGTTGTTTTATAGATATGGGGCAATTTGTTAAAATATCTGACACATCCAAAAAAGGTTTGGTAGTTAATTTATTTAATTCAGTTACAGTGCTTCAATAGGATGCCATTCATTCTCCACAAGAGCAGAGCCTGACATTCCATGCAGCTACACCTATTACCCACCTCTATTAAACTGTACTAGCATCAATGAAATCTGCCTTATTTGTTCATTGGAAAGTTTTGCCAGAGGTTCTCATGGAATCAGAACTGGTCCACAATTTTTAGCTCTGTCACATTTCAGTGAGGTTTTATGAAAACATTTTTCTTCAGTGTATACAAACCTGGAAACCCAGGGAAATTTCACCTTTTAGAAAGTTATTTTCAAAGCCAGTAAGTAACAAAAAAAGACATGGAAACAGAACAACTTGGAGACACTGGTAGCAGCCGGACTACCAGAGAGCAAGAGGAAAGGTTCAGTATTGAAGTTCTCTAGTGGTATTGAATTGCAGCAGCGCAAGGCTCTACTTGTGGTTCCTGTAGTAATCTTCAATGGTTTCTGAGTTGAAGTACACCACGGTGACTGTGATGTCGTCCCTGTACATCCTGGCCAGGTCCTCAGGCAGGGTCAGCATGGCAGCCAGCTTCTCCGGGTCCACCTCGCCGTACTCGTTGCTGCCGATTGCGTGCCGGATCAGATGGGTGGCGATGTTTTGGTCCAGGGAGGCCAGGCCTTTGCTCTTCCTCTGCAGCAACAAGTTGTGCATGTAACCCAAATTAACTGGCTTCTTAAAAGTCAGCGGTGGTTTGTGCATGTTGAGTTCTGTAAGGTGTCCAGCAACAAGTTTTACAACCTTCTCATTGCTCAGCATCTCCCATAGCCCATCCGAAGCAATAACGAGAAACTTATCCTTGCTTCTTAACTTGTGGTATGTGACTTCAGGCTCTGCAGTTAAGTAAGGGGGGGTATGGTAGTTTGGAGGAACGTACTGATAAATGTTTAGAGCCTCAACATCACAGCTGTTCTCGAGAATGCTGTGCTGCAGTTCTTTACTCCATTTTAATTGCACATCTCCAAAAGCTCTGGAGGGCATAAGAATCCCCAGTAATCTGTCATTCACAAATAGGGTTTTCTCCTCAGATCTAGGATGTTCCCTCTTCAATCTTCTAATTTCAAATTCATCATAGGCATTGTGGTCTCGGGTTAGAGGGAGGGTAGACCACGTTCCATCTTCTTCACGGATCCCTAAAACCGCTCTGCAGTCACCGGTGTTTGCCACGTGTAGGTGAACACCATCAACGTGAGCCACACAGGCTGTTGCACCAGAAAAAGCTACTTGCAGGGCAATATTTCTCATCAGCTCATTTTCCTGAGGAGCCTGAACTTCCAGTGATATGTCTGAGTCTAACCTTTTGAAAGCACAAATCATGGCTTCTTCCAAACTAAAGCCCGGCTCAGTGTCCAGGTCCAGCAGGTGCTGCCAGTAAACGCGGAGGTTCTCAAAGTACTGCGAGCTGATTTCCTGGTACTCCACATCGTTGGGATGTCTGTGCCACTGCAGGATGGGCCTCACTGGTTTCATGGCCTCCACGGCCAGCTCGATCTCCTCCAGGCTCTGGCGGGGCATGAGGGACACGGCGATGTAGTGCAGGAGCCTCTCGCTCACAGCCTGGGCGCAGGCGGCGCCCGCGTGGCCGTCGAACACTCCGAACATCATCCCCGCCGTCTGCAGGCACGTGGCTGCGCTCCGCCGGTCCTCTATGGGGCTGTTGGAGGCCAGCTGGTTGCTTTCAAACCTCAGCACGGAATTTGCACTCTTGCCATTCAAATCCAGCGTTCTGTGGGATAGTTCACCTGCTCTGAGGATGTGGTTGATTTGTGCTGGAGACAACTGGAAGGAAAAATGTTCTTCTTCGGTGGAAGTGTGTCGGAATGCTTTGGGAAAGGAGAAAGTTCTGTCTAAGCTGCAGCTCCCAGCAGGGTAGGGATGTGTTTTGGAGAAAATGAGCTTCCATTTGATCTTGTTTCTGTTTGGGATACGGATGGAGTACCAACGTCCCTTCCCTAGTGAAACAATGCTGCTTCTGGCTGAGCTCAAAATCCAGGATGATACAGTTCTTGACATGGTAATGGAGCACCTTCCTTCAGTAGCACAGAATGTCCTTGCAGCCTGGAACATAAATGTGGGAAAGGGAAAGTAATTAAAAAGTTCCTAAGAAGCTTTCCATATAGAAGTACAAAAGCACATCTAGAGCTCTCAAAAATATTCAGAACTTTTTTCCAAAAGAGATTGCTATAGATAAAAGCATCTTAAAAGTGATACAATTTCCTTCACTTAATTATAACCAAGGATATGACTGCTCCTTTTAATCCATCAGAAAATATTTTTTTTTTACTTTCCAGACAGAGTTTTTTCCTCATTGTGGCAAAAAAGGAATGGCAACATTACAAGAAATATTACTGGAAACTGTACAACAAAAAGCTTCATCTCACACAACACAGAACAAACAGATCCAATGGGCTTGAAAATCGGGACTTAAGTGACAATTATTGCACAACACTCAAAAAAGTCTGCTAGAGTAGAACTCCATTAATAGACCCAAAACTTCAAACCCAAGAGAAGATAAGTACTTAAACCCAGTGGAAAGACTGAGAGCTGTGGCCAGTTAATGATTTATGTGAGCTACCATGATCCTCACAGCTAGAACAAGCCAGTCTACCTTTCCAATTCTGTTACAGCTTATAAGCTCAGCTGTTCTTTTTTTTACCTTCAAGGTCTTAACCAACCCTCAAGCAAACAGGATCTTTTACACAGCTGAAGGCAGATTCTACTGCTGGCTAATTCCTGCTTTTTCAGAGCATTGTGCACTCCGGTGCAGTGAAAGCTATAACACAGTGACAACTTTTACAGGTTCACAATTTGGCTTGTTCATTTGGAGGGCAATCAGAACAAACTGCAGGGAAGATCTCTGCTGCCAACAGCACTGAAACCTCGGGCACTTCAGCAGCTGAAGCTCTTCAGTTGCCATGGGAGAGGTCCTCACATTGTCTCCTGCTTTCAATAAGGTATTCCAGCTGTGGGATATTGCTAAATACAACCAGATGTTCACTCACAACAGAATTTTGCCCCATGGACTTCAAAAACTCACCATTATGGCAGCACTGCAAGAACAATTACTCCCAAAAGATCCCACTAGCAGCCACTGAGAACAAGAGAGTTCTCTGTAAGCTTTCAAACACTTTGAGGTGGCCTGTGACACCACTTGCTCAGGCCAAAGACACTAGCTGCTGCTACAAAACCAGCTTTTTAGAAAGCAGTTCACAAGAAATAACAAGAAACCAGCCAGATCAGATGAGTGGAAATGTTTCCAAGAAATCAGCAGGAAGTAAAAGTCACCTTGAGCTATTCTAAATAGAAGGCCTACTGATACAACCCAAGAGCTGCTGAAATCCTGTTTGAAACCCAGACGAATGCATCACAAAACATTTCTGAGGTGTGCTACCCATACTTAACGCAGAAAAGAGCAGACGTGTTCCAACAGACCCCACCACTGTGATTCTGGAGACCTGGTGAGAACAGGCAAAGACACAGCATAATTTCACTGCTGATGTCAGGAGAGCAGATGGAAAAGGCAGTGCCACTTCACTGTCCAAGTCTCCTGGGACACTGCATCTCCCAACACACACAATGCCTTCTGTTGTCCTACAGAAAGAACACAACCAACATAACAGGAAGACAGCTGACACTACCAACTACAGCAACAGCTAAACCCCAAAACCACACACAGCACAAGACAAGCCAAGGTTTGCCAACCTTTTTCAGTCCATTCCCTGTCCTGTTTTTCCTTCTTTCTTTTCCTGCCCCTCTCAGCCACGTGAGATTACAACGAGGATGACTTTACTTGATGAAAAAGCCGATTGAAGCGGTTGTTTTAAAGGAAGCTCCCCCGTTCACACCGGCTGGCTGACAGGGCCAGGCGCTGTGGTTTTCCCCCCAGCAGCAGAGTCACTAACACCGCTTAGCCCTGCGCTTGCCTAAGGTCGGGTTAGCTCTGACGAGCCCTGGAGCAGCTGTGAGCCAGCCCTGCTCTCTGCCTTCCGTCCTCGGGGTCCTCCCCAGCCGACGCTGCTGCTGGGGACGCCCCCGGTAGCGGTGCTAATTAAAGCGGTGTGCTAAAGACCATTATGTAAGAGCCAATTATTACATAAAGTCTCTCCCCGGCACTGCCTCCCCGGGGACGCGGTGTCCCAGCGGGGCCCGGCCAGCCCCGGCACGGCCCGCAGCTGCCGGACCGCACAGCGCAGCAGCCTCCGCTTTTCCCAAGGAAATAACAGATACCCGGTACATTTGGATTTACAGTCCCTCTGAGATCCCCGCAGTCCCATCACTCATCCTCCTGACACTGCCCACACCCATCCGGCACACACCGACAATCCCGCCAGCTCCGCACTGCCTCAGCCCCACTCACCGACACACAGACCCCCTCTGCTCCCCAACACCGTGTGCCCCCCACACGCCTGTCCCGGACACCCACACCCACCCTGCCCCTCACAC